GTAATATAATCTGCTCTGAATTTTCACTGTGCAAAGATCATCTTTTCCTCTGTCAGTGTTTGGCGCTCTGTCATCAATTTAGGTTAAAGAGCTTTGTCAGTGACTTAGCTGTAATTTTATAATGCAGCCTTTCCCCTTAAATAATACTAATGTTTACATTTTTAATATTTACAGACTGCAATTTTTCCACTTGGCACTGTAAAACAACACAGATTTTAAAGAGTGAGCTGGTTTCTACTCTGGGTCACAGAGTAGACCAGTTGTGGTCATAGGACAAAGTTTTGTAAAAAAATTCTGACCATGCATACAATCTCTAACTAAAAGCAAGAAACAATTGAGGGCAGCTTTTGTCCTCACTCAGTCTTCAGTACTGATATTTAACTTCAGTCACATAGAATTTAGAGTTAATATCTTTCTTAAGTGAAATTCTGTGCTTTCTTCCTTAGCTCTACATACTTTGAGAATGAATTGCTGTTTCAAAATACTTCTTGCAATATGCCAGCAGTGTATTTTTCTAAAGGATATAACCTTTAAAATCTTTCTTCTACCTCTTGTTCAGCACTTTTGACCATTCAACAGTCAGCTAGAATAGTGTTCTCTGCAAGAAGAAAATGTTTTTATGCCTTATCCTAATAGATTTATTTAATAGTATCTCATACTCTCAGCTGAAGAAGTGCAGTTTTCTAGGGCACTAGAGAATAAACTGTTAGGAAGCCAAGTGGAACCAGATTACGTTCTTTCTCCTTCCAGTTAAGGCCAAGAAAGATCAGCTGGCTAGTGTCAATAATAGATATGCCAAAAACATAGACAGGTGCAAGTTTTTTTTAATTAAAGGTCAATTTGGCTATTGCTTTTGTTGTTCTGCTGTGTGTTTAATTAAGTCCCAAGCCTTCTAATTCTGTGGTGTCCTTCCCTGTAATGCTTACTATGCTGTTCAGTAGAGGATCTATCTCATATAGAGCTGTCTTATTTTCTACAGTCTTCCTCAATTCTACCTGTTGTTTCCACTGTCACTTAAGCAGTGTTTAAGAACACTTGAAACCATATGTCTTGATTCAACATTTGAATTTGGTGTGTTCAAAAACAGCGAGGAAGATGAGGCTTTAGGGAAAAAGTGATTAGAGTTGTCCCCCCATTAAAATGTTCTAAAATTACCTGTTACTGTCACACTCCACAGAAAGGAAATAGCTACCCCATTGTCCCATTTAGGTATTTTTGGCCACTGTTTTGCAAGATGCAGATAACAAACGATATTGTCTTCCATTAAAATGTCTTTACAGTGCTGTTGCAATTCTTATAATTATGCTTGCCGTGGTGTAACTCTACATATATTTTTGATAAAATACTTGCACTGTCATGAAAAGTTTAACCCAGTACAAACCGTCCAGGCAAGTCCTAAATCAGGTGAATAGATATAAAGCTCTACTCCTCTGTGCTGAAGAAAATTAAGCTTATGGATAGGAAATTGCTTTCCCCAGGAGTGTGGCCTTTCTCTGTTCTCCGCTATGCTTGTTAGTCTCCACCCTTATAACCACTGGTCATTTCTTTCTTGTATGAAGGCAGATTCTTTTCCATCTTTTATTTCTTATACAACATTGTTGTGGTTTAACCCCAGCCAGCAACTAAGCACCATGCAGCTGCTTGCTCACTCCCCCTTCCCCCACTGCCCAGTTGGATGGGGAGGAGAACTGAGAACAGGTAGAACTTGTGGGCTAAGATAAGAACAGTTTAATAATTTAAATAAATAAATAAATATGATGATGAAAATTAAGAGAGTGAAATAAAGCCCAGGAAAGACAAGTGATGCACAGTGAAATTCCTCACCACCTGCTGACAGGTGCTCAGCCAGTCCCTGAGCAGCAATCTGCCCCTCTTGGCCAGCTCCCTCCAGTTTATATACTGGATATAATATCATATGATATGGAATATTCCTTTGTCCAGTTTGGGTCAGCTGTCCTGGCTATGTCCCCTGCCAACTTCTTGTGCCTCTCCAGCCTTCTTGCTGGCAGGGCATGAGAAGCTGAAAAATCCTTGACTTAGTATAAACAGTACTTAACAACAACTAAAAACATCAGTGTTATCAACGCTATTCTCATACTAAATCCAAAACATAGCACTATACCAGCTACTAGGAAGAAAATAAACTCTATGCCAGCTGAAACCAGGACAGACATTTTTCTGTTTCTTATTTTAATGACTTGAGTAAGTACATGCTGCTTCTCTCTAGATAATGGTACAAGGCTGAAGACTTAGTCACTCAGTAGTAGTTCTTAGGCTAAATTGCTAAATAACCCTTCGGTTCTCAACTCCCATGTTTCTTTACATCCAGGACAGAAGTAAAGGATTTTAACTCAATGAATGGCAAGAAAGTTACAGGTGGATAGAATAATCTGAGTCAAAGTCATTGCTATTACTTGTTTTAAAAAATAAATATTTTAATACATCTTGGTTTTCAGAACATCCTGCAGCCCTTGTCATGGCACGTAGTGATTTGCTTAGTGGCTTAGGAAGAATATCTAACCTAGTACCTGCTGAAGCACATGGAAAGGGTCTCCTTGACTGGACTGGTGCTGGACTGAGCCAAGATAAAGCACTGACTGAACTGATGCCAGACTGGGCCAAGACAAAGCAAGTTTTGTTAAGTTTCAGCAATCATTAAGAAAACAAAAATTGCAACAAAAAATAATCAACAGATCAAAACCTTATTTACCTGAACTTTAATCTATTTTCATACAGTATAGTAGCAATACTAGTTTCCATCTTTTTTCTTTTTATGCTTTTCTCCTTCCATTTTCAACTAGAAATGAACCTATTCTCAAAGCATGCTTCGGTCTGAGAAACACCCTTTCTTTCCTTGAGCACATATGGTGTTCAGCCCTCCTTCCTGCACCTCCTACCTCCATGACCCACCAGAGAGTCCACCTGGGAAGTTAGCTTCCCTTTTGCATTTGTCTATGCAACTTTTTGTAAAGAAACATACAGAATAAAAAAGGGGAAATGGCTTTTCACAGAATTAAGTGAAACCATTAGGATAACAGTGTCATAAACAAGTTAATCTTTTTTGCATAATTACTACAGTAATATTTCCTTTGATTATGTTGACAGAAGAAATTGAGATGCCATTAGAGCAAGAAGACTCATTTCCCAAACTCTACCTAATTCACATGATACAAAAGCCAAACGTGCATGCAGCAAATCAGCTCTACAGCTACGTGCAGAGCAGTAAGTGGGAGCAGGCAGAAGTGGTGCTTCTGGGATCCCACTGCATGAGAGACATTCTGGACTCTTCTGTGGGGGGAACTCTGGAGATCTCACTGCTTTCTTAGACACTTATGAATACATGGCTGTATAGCACTAACATCTATCTTTAAACAAGAAATCTTGAATGGTTTTCCTGTTGGCCTTTGTTGAAAAATACAGCATTGTACAGTACTGGTTCAAAATCAGTAATACCTCAGAAGTTATGAGCTGTGGTAGGGGTTATGTAGTTTATGGTAGAAAGCTATTTTGTAAATCTCTCCTTGTATGCCACTTTTTCAAAGTATGATGGTGCTAGGGAAGTGTGACTGTTTTTACAATAGCAGGTAGGATGGCTGTTGAGAGGTTAAGAAGGATAAGCATTGGAAAGACCTGGAGATGCTCTCATGGTGTGGGAGGACACTTCATCAGAAAATGGGATTCATGGTAAGATGTGGGTTACCTTGTCTGGAAATAGACATACCCAAGTCAGCTTTAAAGTTTCCAGTGACACGGTATCAAGAGGGAGAACGAATCAAAGTGGCCTGCAAGACCTGGGCCACTTGAAAATGTGAATGAGTAATTAGGTTTCTAGTCTGTGATGAGATCTGTGATGGTGCCGCTAATGCTGTCAGTCTCTCATGTGGCTAATTCTGAGCAAGTCCTGTTATATTTCTGAGCATGTACTGCACTATCAGATTATAGTGTAGGTTTACCCTTTGAGACAGACACCGGAGTAATAGGAGAGGTTAACTAATATGAAGGAAAAAGTTGACATTCTGAGTTCATAATCTTTGTCCCATAAATACTGCATCTTTCCATGCATGGAATGCCATGAAAGTAAAAGCCAAATGCTAACTGATGAAGTTGATTGAGAAGCCACCATTTCATTTCATAGAATTGGAAAATGTCCTGCAAAAAGGTTGAAAACCCTTTAAACGACATAGTATGCTTCTTCCTCCTGTTTATAGCTGTGTGGAGCAGGCTTTGTGTTTCAGGGTTGGCTGTGCAAGTTAATTCTGCAAGTTGATTTTCTCTCCATTTGACTGGATGATGCTAAATGCAATCTATCACTAGTAGATTTCATAATCTAATTAGTGGTGAATTCAGTCATATTTACAGTGGTGCATTACAAGTTCATCTTCAGTGTACTCCAATGTTTTATAGCATTCCTGGTTCATTTAAGTTGTGATAGTTAATCCTTACCTAGAAAAAGCTGGCATAGTCCTAGGATCTGTCCCTCTGAGTTAGCATGGTATAAAGCCAGGGCAGAATGTGACCTTGCACTTTTATATTTGAAAACATTGTAAAAAAATGGCCTTGAAAATATATGCAAGAATATTTTACTATATAGAAACTATTTACCTGATGAAGTGCACATCCTAAACAGAGACGAGTAGCTCCTCATTTCTGCAATGTAATGAATTTGTTGTGCAACATAAATTGATAATCTATAACAGCTTCATTTGTGCAGTTTAACAATGAAAAAAAGTTAGTTTTTAAATACTATTTTTCTTCTTAGCACATAGAGCCACATAAAAATAGGGAATGCAATATTTGAAATGTATTGTTGAAATTATAACACCTAATACTGCCAGATGGAGAACAGACCAACATAGCTCACACACCATAGCATCTATTAATAGGCCTGACTCCCTTTTGCAATGTCAACGGTAACATTAATCCTTGTTTTAAATCACAGTGTCTCAAATATCAGCTGCTACTAGTGTATAGTTCTCTTTCAGTTTATATCAGAGAGCCCAATGGAGTCTTTTGAAGGACCTAGTCGTGTTAGCAGGGCTAATTTATTAGAAGTCCCCACTGTAAATGATTTCTCTTCAGAGGACGAAGATGTTAAACCTGACATTAAGCTTCGTTTCTCTCCACTTCCCCGAAGGCGGAATTCTGCTTCTTCAGAGGAAGAGGAGGCAGATACCCCCACCACCATTTCAAGAAAAGTTTCATTTGCTGATGCATTTGGGTTTGATCTTGTGTCTGTTAAAGAGTTTGATACCTGGGAAGTTCCAAATACAGGACAAAATTATGACATAGAAGATGAAGTTTTCCCTCAGGAGGAATATTTCTTTTCTGAAATGTTTACATTACCTGCTTCACAAGAAGAACTTTTGCAAAAAGTGCGAGAGCAGAAAGTACTGTTGGAGTCAATTATGTTCCTGCCTGGGATTACCTGTATGAATGGCATTATACGAGTCCTCAATGTATCCTTTGAAAAAATGGTGTATGTTCGAATGACACTGAATAACTGGCTCAGTTATTACGATATCCTTGCAGAATTCATGCCTAATTCTTGTGGCAGTGAAACTGATCAATTCTGCTTTAAGTTATCTTTGGTGCCTCCTTATCAACGAGATGGAGCTAAGGTGGAGTTCTGTATACGCTACGAGACATCGGTTGGTACCTTCTGGGCAAACAACGAGGACAAAAATTACACACTGATTTGTCACAAAAAAGAAACTGTGCCCAAGGTGGATAATAAACCACACAAAGAGGTTACTGATAGACATCTTAAAGGCTGCTTAAAGACAACACAAAACAGGTGAGGTTGCACCTTCACTTTCTGTAATTTGCAATATAGCTGGCTAATTCTAACTAAGTGTGCTTGCTGGAGCTAAGATTGCCCATGCTGCTTTCTTCTATGATTTTTTTTTAATGATAAATTAGACCAAGATTTGTTTTCAGTAAAGCTCTTGCACGTATCAACCAGTAGTTTTCTGCAGACAGATTGGTCATGATCATAGTTTTAATATGTGGCATACATGCCACTCATTTGAAAAGTAGTGTGAGGGTCTGTAAATTATGGGCTGTGTACCAATTTTGATCTCTGTAGGATATAAATTGAGCTGACATCAGTGAGAGCTTTGCTGCAGACTGAGATAGCTGTAGAGTTAAAACCGTTTGCATCCACTTCATTCATAAATTGATAAAAATTAAAATCAAAACAAATCTTGGGTTTTCACATGATTTATTTAATGGTTCATTCTCTGCATACAATTATTAAAACCAAAATGACACTGGTGGTTCAGGAAGCTGATAACTCAGAGAAGGATCCTACTGCAATTAGAATAGCCAGTACAGTTTTCTGCAAGTGGTTGGGCTATTCTGCAAGTTGTATATTAGGGTAATAATTCCTTTTTCCTGCCACTGGTTAATGTTTCTGTTTCACAAATGGTGAAATGAATAATGACTTATAAGGCAGAATTGGTAATATGTTAAAGAAAAAATTATAGAATTTATCTCATATATATTACGCACATTTAGGCAAGTACTATGTGATAAGGAGGCAGTGGTTGACTTATAACTTAACCCCATGTAAAAGAAGACACTTAGGAATAGTAACTTTTGACTTCCTACTCTGTTTTTAACTTCTTTCTGTGAGCAAAAACAATGTTGCCTGTGAAAATATAATTCTCATCTGTTTGTTCACCAAATTTGTTATAAAACAGTTGGAGTTCTCCAGAATCGAATTTATATTTTACCTGCAGCATCTTTTGCAATACTTAGATCCCAGAACTGAATTCACCTTAAGTTTTTAGTTCCTATAGTCTTCCCAAGTAAGGCAGTGCTGTTTGATTTCCCTGGTGCTCTTCCACTGGACTGAACTGGAGGGGAGGGGAGAACAAAACTGTAGGAGTGGTGAGAGTTTAAGGAGAAGGGAGACAGTCAGGGCTTCCCCTGTGCAGAACCTCCCTTCCCAAAACACAGACTCCATGTGCTGAGACCCACCCTCTACCAGCCCTACTTACATCTCAGCCCTGTGAGGAGAGCTGTGCAGTACGGCTTAGTGCCTGCATCGACACCATGGCGTAAGAGCAGCCCCGGGATTAAGCCAAGGCCCAATTCAAAGCTCTCCTGGTAAGTATCCTTTGGGCCAGCTCTGGGGCCACCACAATGATGCTTCTGTGGGGGAACATCCCTGTACATCAGAGCAGAGGGAACAATGCCTTTACTTGCTGTGTGGTCAGATCCTGATGTTTGTTCCTGGTTCTGTACGTTGTTTCTGTCCTTCAGGAAGTGTCACATGACCCATTCTGGGTAAATCAGATAGCCTGAGATTCCCTGCAGAAGAGCCAAGATATCAAATACCACAGGCATATGCACGCAGTGTGACTTCAGCCTGAGTTCAGGTAGCTCACATGGAGCAGATGATGGACACGGAGATCTGAGTCTTAATTTAGTGAGCCCTGGGCTTCCAGGTGCTTTCAGGACTGACCTGAAAATTTAGATAGAATCGCGCATCTAAGTTTGAATGACTTCTAAGAGTTTAATTCCCTGAAGTCTCCTGTGATATGCCTAGTGCTAGCATAAGTTGTAGAAGCATTTCCTCTGCAGGTTCCTCTTTTAAATGTATATGCTAAAGGTATTATATATGAGTCAGACAGAGAGGTATTTTAAAAAATGGGAAAGGAGCTAACATCTACTCCTTGACATAAAATTACCTTCTCTCTGGTCAGAGTGTAAAGATGTCTCTCTCCACATATGGATGCAGAGGAATGTATATATGTATAGATGTGTGTGTGTATGCATATATATGTGTATATACATATATGTGCATATATGTTTATATATACACATACACACATGTATATTTGCGTTATTAAAACCAGAGTGGTCAGATTCTTGTTTACATTAAGATCTGTTACACATTTTGTTAATTAATGTACCCTTTTGAGATCCCCTTTAGTGACAGAAGGATGTAGAGACCTTACAGTAAATGCAAAAATGAGCTGAAAGTATTTTTGGAATATGGTTTCAGTGGTCGCCAAGGCTTCTGAAAGACAGTTCTGGCAGATTGTAATCCAGGACCAATTTTATGCCACAGGGACTTCATTGACTTCACAGCAGTTACAGCTTTCACCAGTGTAAATGAGGTCAGTATTAGGGCCTTTCATTTCAAAAGAACTAAGATGCCAACCTCCATTGCTCACTTGTTTTTCAAAGTGTCTTTGTACATGTTGCCCCTTTGAGTGAGGAGGAACACCCTGAAGACATCTGCAAAAGTACCTCATTATTCTCCTTCAGACCTTCATTAAAACTCCTTTGCTTTGATGCCTAGAAAAATGGACAAGAAAAACAAACCCCCCAAAATTGGCAAAGTAAGGCTGCTGATGTGCTATGACTCCTTCATATCATGTTGAACAGTGCTGCCTGTTTCCCATCTCTCCTCCACCATCCCATCTCTCTCTCATCTCATTTTATGCTCAGATGATAAACTCTGCAGCATTTATATATGCTGTGCTGGATTTTTATAGAACATCTAGCAAAGTTGGGGTCTTGGACTGTAACTAGCTTGTCTTAGGAGCTGTAGCAATGCAAACAGATATAAATAGAAGTAATAATGGTTTTTACATATGGTTCATGCAATAAATACGCAGGTAAGGAATATTGCTATTCATGCCCATGAGCTGAACATCTTAAATGAAAGATTTCTTTATAGCAATCTGAATAGAAGGATATTTTTCATGACACTTATTTAGGCCCCTATTTCAAGTTTAGAAACCTGTTCAAATTTTTTTTTTTTTCATCTTCTCTCTGAGATATTTATACGTTCTCTTAAAACACGCAATTTACCTCTTCAGTTAAAAAATAATACTGTTAAAGAATTATGTTTTTTAAGCAGAGAGTCTGATCCACTCTAGGGCATACTTGTGTGGCTCATTAAATGTCATTAGTGAGGATTAGTTGCATTAGTTAAGTGAAAGGAATAATATGCGCTTTCAGAGGAAGTTACTGAGGAAACGCAGTATGACTGTATCACGTTACTCTTAAGAATATGAGCCAGGACAAAGTTGTGTGAATGAGGGCAATGGGGTGGCTTCTGACACTGTTATTGAGAAATAAAATAAAAATTGATTTAACCCTCAAAATTTGCACCTTAAAAAAATGATAGTGAAAAGCAAAACTGCATGGAATAATTCATGATGAAAAGTGTCTAGCCTTGGATATTCAGAACCACATGATTTAAAATCCTGCCTATTCATTCCATGTTTCATTTGCTTTTGCTTCTATGTTCAGGCATGAATAAATACTCTTCTCATAAAGTTTCATATAATATTTGCTTCTAAGTATTTTTCTACATTAAATTTCTTTCCAATATAATTTTTAACAATATTTGTGTCTTGAAAGGATTCATAGGCACAAAATATAGTTTGAAAATATAACATTTGACTTAATTTATGTTTTAGTCTATCTGAAAGTGTGCATTTAACTCATGCATACTTGTAAACATACTCTGGGAAAGAAATTACTCCTAAAATTTTAAAGTTTTCACTGGAAAAGAGAGAGCTTCTGTCAGTAAACAGCCCTGATTTCTATCATAGATATACATCCATCTAAACACTCAGAAAAAGGTAAATTAATTGTATCAGTTCCACTCTTTTTTTATTTGACTCTCATGCTTTTGGAACATGGATAGTGAGTCACATGGATAGTGAAAAACACAAATTTCTCCTCATCCTTAGGTTTGGACCATATACATAATTTTGTTGTAGATTCCAGGCTCTTGCATTGGTCTGATCAGACAGGGATTAGTTATATGTTGCATGAGGCAGACTTCTGTAGATCATGCTGCACAGTGCAGTGATATCGACCTGCAGACCATTTCCCCCTTCACTGGTGAGCCTGCGCCCCATTCCTGTGCTTGGTCCTGGTTTGTCATCTGTCAAGAGAGCAGCAGGAGCAAGAGCACAAGGAAAATAGCTGGTAAGCATGAGAATTTTACAAAAGAGTAAAACGTGTATTTGGACTCCTGTCCTCTGACAAGGAAGGGGAAGGCTATAGTCTTTTTATCATAACTGTTAGAGCTATCCTCCCTCTTAGCAATCTGAGCCCACAAGTGTATCACTGAGCTGCTTGCTGTTGCTCCTGTGCTTTTTTTCATAATTGCCAGATTGTATTTCTCTTTGAATGGTAGTGCATCAATTCGCTTTCCTCCGTGATGCCACTTTAAAAAGAACACAAAATAGGACAATGTCTCATACAAGAGCTGCCCTATTTACAACACTCCATGAGAAGGAAGACATAAAAAATCCTGGGCCTGTGGGCTGCCAGTGCCAATTTCATCAGCAGAAGTACTGAATGGTCTTAAAACAATTGCCAGTGAGAAAATTTCTGTTCATGAGTACTCTCCCATCTTCAGCTGCTGTCTCATCCCCTTTCTGATGGAAGGCAAAGGAAGTATATTACTGAAGGTCCAGCCTGTCAGGACTGCACTGTGCTCAGCCAGTCTTCCCTGGGCAGATGGCAGACTAGTGCCTAGGTTGCCCCTAGAAATGCAGTTCTACATCAGCTCCTCTTGGCCTTTCCCACAAACCCATGATGTGACTAAAAAAAAATCAAAGCTTTTGAGGAAGATATTTGGAAATAGCTTTGCATGTGCTTTGCTGTGAGGAACAACTGTATTATTCCCAGCTGGTCTATTTAAAATATGGCATTTAAATTATGTTCCCTTTTAATCCTTGTTCTTTTGATTATTGCACATCATAATCGGAAAGGGAAAAGGAGAGCAGAGAAGATGTTAAAACACACTTCTTTTTGTAC